CGTGTCCTTGGCCCTTCCTCCTCTGGCCTCGTCCTTGGCCCCTCTTCCTCCTGCTGGCCTCGTGTCCTTGGTCCCTCTTCCTCCTGCTGGCCTCGTGTTGGCCTCTTCCTCCTGCTGGCCTCTTTGCCTTCCTCCTCCTGCTGGCCTCGTGTCCTTGGTCCCTCTTCCTCCTGCTGGCCTCGTGTCCTTGGTCCTTCCTCCTGCTGGCCTCGTGTCCTTGGCCCCTCTTCCTCCTGCTGGCCTCGTGTCCTTGGCCCCTCTTCCTCCTGCTGGCCTCGTGTCCTTGGCCCCTCTTCCTCCTGCTGGCCTCGTGTCCTGGCCCCTCTTCCTCCTCCGCCTCGTGTCCTGGCCCCTCTTCCTCCTGCTGGCCTCGTGTCCTTGGCCCCTCTTCCTCCTGCTGGCCTCGTGTCCTTGGCCCCTCTTCCTCCTGCTGGGGAACACCTTTACCTCAGGAGTTAGGGTTTTTTGAGGACTACATCGGGTCTTTGCATTTATTCATAGCCAAGGTGTAAGACTTCTCTCCGTAATCCATTTTCAGTTGGTTTTATGCCTAACTTTTAATCTGCTTCTGGATGGTAAACTCACTTTAATCTGTGACGAAGAATTTTATTTTATTTTTTTGTCAGGGGAAAAAATTCCTGTGAAGACCTGGCTTTATTTATTTTATTTATTTTATTTTATTTATTTACTTTATTTCATGTACTTTATTTATTTATTTATGAGACGATGGACAGAGTGAAAAAGCAAAATACTTTTATAGTGCAATACTTTATTTTAAATAGAAAATAATTTAAATTCTGTTATTTCTTTTTACGGAGGAGTACATGATGTATTTTGTTATAATGTAACCTACGGCTTAATATTCCTAGTAATGTCTAGTTATAATAGATAATGTTTATTGTATTATATTTATGTTGATTGTTATAATGATAATACAGCAATAATGATAAAAACTAATGATAATAACAAAGTATAAAATAATAATAATAATAACACAGTATTAGTAATAAGAATAGTACCAATAATGGTTAAATAATGACACAGTACAGGAGAGTAATCAATAAAACTGCTTCTATTCTTCAGTACCAAGACATGGATATAAATGACGTGTATACATCACTAGTTAATGACGATTTAGCACAATATAGTTTTTGGGGGTTCTGTGTGTGTGTGTGTGTGTGTGTGTTTTGATAGACCGAAAAAGCCTCCATCCCCCCCTACAAAACTCGTTATCGTGCGTCTGGCAGTAGGTCAGTCACCCGCGCTGCTTGCATCTTTGTGCTTCCCATCCTCCCTTCTTCCTCCACCTCTCCTTCCTGCTCCCCTTCCTTCCTCCCTCCCTCCCAGATGGTAAGATAAGCTGTGATTTGTGTGTGTGTGTGTGTGTGTGTGTGGCCGCTCCTCCCCAACCTACCAGATCCTCAGTGATTTACACCTTAAGATTCTTGCGGCCTTGATTCAGACAACAGCACACCTGGTCACGGGACACACCTGGTCACGGGACACACCTGGTCACGGGACACACCTGGTCACGGACACTAGGACACCCTGGTCAGGGACACACTTGGTCACGGGACCTGGTCACGGGACACACCTGGTCACGGGACACACCTGGTCACGGGACACACCTGGTTACGGGACACACTTGGTTACGGTAGATCATCAATACAGTCTCGACACAGCTTTCCCGCCATCTTTATAACGTAACTTTAATGAATCACCAGCTTAGTTCACATGAAGAATAGGCACCCCAGCTTATTTCACCAGAAAATTAGACACTCCAACTTATTCACTTATTTTACCTTTAGCTTTTACTTTTATTTATCTTATTAACTCCATTTATATTCCACATATATACATACATACATACATACATACATACATACATACATACATACATACATACATACACACACACACAACAAGCATAAATATCTACACCTACGTGAACACTCAACCACTACACTATGAACTATTTACTATGCACAATTGAACAACACAGACCACTATTGCAACATCATCTGGTAACCATGGGAATACAGTAAAACACCTACAATATTGTGTATGTATGTATGTATGTATGTATGTATGTATGTATGTAGGTCACCCACTTGGTACTGACACGTGGGCGACAGCGGGAGTTAGCAGGGGTCATCAGATCGACGGCCCGGGTGAGACAATACTACTGGATAACAATCTAGTGTTGCTCTCTTGTTTAAGTATTGTGGAATTAATGACTGTACGTTTTAGGAGTTTTGCTCTTGTTCTGCCGCTGTGTAGGGGGTAACAGAGAGAGAGAGAGAGAGAGAGAGAGAGACTAGTGGAGATTTGAAGCCATCATTTTCTCATCTGACGCAAGTTATACTTTCTCACATTTTGAATATCGGTTTATCAATATTTAACCCAGATACCTTGTGTGCATGTTTAAGGGCTCAAAGTTGACACCATACTTGTCCTGACACCATACTTGACCTGACACCATACTCTTCTTGGCTGGCATCATACTTGACCTGACACCATAATACTTTTGTCTTGGCACCTTGTTTTAGTGTGTGTTGTGCAAATATGATGAAAGACGTTTATTATGTGTCTGAGCTTTAGAGAGCATACACACACACACACACACACACACACACACACACACACACACACACACACACACACACACACCTCACATATGGCCCCGTTAAAAGACACTACACACTATATATTTTAGCGGTACTTTTTACATGTAGTGAAGCATCATTTAACATCACAAACTTCCCCTCCGTCTTGGTATGTCGACACCCACCGCCTCACTCCTCATGTGTTGGGAGTTACTGTGGCCAGGCGAGTTACGACGATTGTAATTATAATGCAGGAGACGGAATGGAAATACTGACTTGACTGGTGTAAGGTCATCACTAGTGTGGGGTTGTATTATTGACGGATATATCTCCTTATTTATTGACTTATTTTTTACCATTTACTTATTTATTTATTTGCGTATTTAATTATATACTTGTTTTATTTATTTATTTACTTGATGATGGTTGTGTTTGTTGTGGGCGGATAGTGGGAGTGAGTCGTATGATTGTGAGTAGTGATAGTGAGGGTAGTGAGTGGGCATTGTGTGAGTGAGTGAGTGATTGAGTGTGTGTGTGAGTGAGTAAGGGCATTATGTGAGTGAGTGAGAGCAGTGTGTGTGTGACTAAGGGTTGTGTGTGTGTGTGTGTGTGTGTGTGTGTGTGTGTGTGTGTGTGTTGGACAATATAACGGGTGCACGTAGGAAGGACAAGGAAGAAGAAGGAGGAGGAAGAAGAGGAAGGGGAAGAGCGTCACCTCCTCTCACTCCCTCACCTCAACCACAACATTGTCGTTTCCATGGCAACTTTGCTCAGGTATTGCAGGCAGTGAACACATGCTAATGAGAACCTTACCTTTACCTGTATAATACACCTTATCAATCCCTTACAATTGATACGTTAAGAAAGGACTGTACTTAATATGGTTCACTGATTAAAAAAATCCCTCACGCAAGAAGCATTTATTTAGTCAGGTCAGTAAAGGCGGTTGTTTGGTTTGGTAAATGCTTTAGATAAACACAAAGGTGATAGTATATCAGGTTGTTATGTCGATACTTAACCTCCGTGATCGATATCGGCAGCGTCTCAAGGTGTCATAAGTGATATCAGATACGGGCATCGGGGGAGGGGGCGTGACAACCGATACTGATGTTTTCATTCAAGCTTTTGGGGAAATGTTTATTTGTTTGTGTTGTGAGTGGTTGTTGTTATGGTGATGGGAGGGTTGTAGTTGTGGTGGTTGTCATGATGGTGGTTGTGGTGGTGGTTGTCATGATGGTGGTTGTTATGATGGTGTCATGATGGTGGTTGTGGTGGTTATTATGATGGTAGTTGTTATGATGGTGGTTGTCATGATGGTGGTTGTGGTGGTTATTATGATGGTAGTTGTCATGATGGTGGTTGTGGTGGTTATTGATGGTGGTTGTGTTATTATGATGGTAGTTGTTATGATGGTGGTTGTCATGATGGTGGTTGTGGTGGTTATTATGATAGTAGTTGTCATGATGGTGGTTGTGGTGGTTGAAGGGAAATGGAGCAGCAGGTTTAGAGTCTAGGCCTGGTGGCAATTGCGGGAGCCTCCTTCCCTCTTAGGCAACACCAGACGGGAGGCCGCATCTGCCGAGGTGTGGCCAGCAGGCGTGTGGCCGGGGGGCGGTGGTGGGTGGCCAGGCCAGTGAGGTGGGGTGGGGGTGTGTGGTGGGGGGGTGTGGCCAGGCAGTGAGTGTGGGGTGGCCGGGCCAGTGAGGTGTGGGTGGCCGGGCCAGTGAGGTGGGGTGGCCGAGGCAAGGGGTGTGGGGTGGGGGCCAGTGAGGTGTGGGGTGGCCAGGCCAGTGAGGTGTGGGGTGGGGGCCAGTGAGGTGTGGGTGGCCGAGGCAAGTGTGTGGCCGGGCCGGGGTGGGGTGGCCAGGCCAGTGAGTGTGGGGTGGCCGGGCCAGTGAGGTGGGGTGGCAGGCAGTGGGTGTGGGGTGGCGAGGAGAGTGTGGCCGGGCTAGGGGTGGGGTGGCCAGGCCAGTGAGTGTGGGGTGGCTGGGCCAGTGGTGTGGGGTGGCGTGGGTTGGGTGGCCAGGCCAGTGAGGTGGGGGTGGCCGGGAGTGTGGTTGGGTTGGGTGGCCAGGCCAGGGTGAGGGTGTGGGTTGGGTGGCCGGGGCCAGGTGGGGTGGGGTGGGAGGCCGGGGTGGGGTTGGGTTGGGTGGCCAGGCCAGTGAGGCGTGGGGTGGCCAGGCCGGGGTGGGGTTGGGTTGGTGGCCAGGCCAGTGAGGCGTGGGTGGCCAGGCCGGGGTGGGGTTGGGTTGGGTGGCCAGGCCAGTGGGCGTGGGGTGGCCAGGCCGGGTGGGTTGGGTTGGGTGGCCAGGCCAGTGAGGCGTGGGGTGGCCAGGCCAGGTGGGGTTGGTTGGGTGGCCAGGCCAGTGAGGCGTGGGGGTGGCCAGGCCAGGGTGGGGTTGGGTTGGGTGGCCAGGCCAGTGAGGCGTGGGGAGGCCGGGGTGGGGTTGTTGTGGAGCTGGGTGGGGTTGGGTGGCCAGGCCAGTGAGGCGTGGGGTGGGGGATGTGCAGAAGCGATTATGCATGAGCCATAAATACTGACAGGATATTTATGGAGGAGGAAGCTGCCTCCTTCCTCCTACCCTCCCTTCTACTTCCTTCTCTTCCTTCCTTCTCTTCCTCCTCTCCTCCCATCCTCCCTCATTCATTCTCCTTCGTCCCTTCCTTCCTACATCACCTTCCTCTCTCTTCCTCCTCCTCCTTTTTCGATTCATGTTCTCATTTTGTTGGTTTTCATTTGACATATTGTGTTTCTCTCTCTCTCTCTCTCTCTCTCTCTCTCTCTCTCTCTCTCATATATTTATATACTAACAATACGTATTAAAACTGTCTCTTTCTCTCTTTCTGATAAAATACAAACTATATCATATAATGGAGAGAGAGAGAGAGAGAGAGGAAATCCCCCTCCCGCCACCAGACTATCACCCGGTAAATAAGGTTGATAATTCTCCTCGCCACCTTCAGTAGACGTGTCTGGGTGTCCCTGGGGCCGTGTGAAGGAACATGTCAGCAACACGTGTGAGACAGGTAGCAGAGTCGTGTCACCTGTTTTGTTACGTTCATGTATTGTGTGTTCCTGGTGGGCGGGGGGGTTATAAGCAATGGTGTATTGTTCTTCGTTATGTTCTTGTTCATTTTGTTCTTCTTGTTCTTCTTGCTGTTATGGCTGAATGTCACAACAATTACTGTATTTTTATGATTACTAATTAAAGAGAAATAAAATAATATGAGAGAGAAAGAGAGAGAGAGAGAGAGAGAGAGAGTTATATTTAATCTCCTCACTAGGGTTGTGATTACCTATTTGGCGTCAGATTACAACCCGGATCATCCCTGCGTGTTGATGGTTGTGTTGTTGATGAGGTTATTGTTATTTATCGATGATGTTCTTGTTATTGGTCGTGTTATTGTTATTGATGGTGTATTGTTATTGTATTGATGGTGTTATTGTTATTGATGGTGTTATTGATTTATTGGTGTGTTATTGTTATTGATGTTGGTGTGTTGTTATTGTTATTGATGGTGTTATTGTTATTGATTGTATGGTGCTATTGTTATTGATGGTGCTATTGTTATTGATGGTGCTATTGTTATTGATGGTGCTATTGTTTGATTGTTTTTTTGGTGGTGCTATTGTTATTGATTGTTTGCTGTTGTTGATGGTGTTATTGTTGTATGGTGTTAGTGTTGTTGATGGTGTTATTGTTGATGGTGTTATTTGTTGATGGTGTTATTATTGTTATTGATGGTGTTGTTTATTGATGGTGTTATTGATTATGGTGTTGTTATTGATGGTGTTATTATGTTATTGATGGTGTTATTGTTATTGATGGTGTTATTATTGAGTGATATTGTTATTGATGGTGTTATTGTTATTGATTATTGATGTGATTGTTGTGGTGATATTGTTATTGATGGTGTTATTGTTGTTATTTATGGTGTTGTTATTGATGGTGTTATTGTTGTTATTGATGGTGTTATTGTTATTGATGGTGATATTGTTGTTGATGGTGTTATTGTTATTGATGGTGTTATTGTTATTGATGGTGTTATTGTTATTGATGGTGTTATTGTTATTGATGGTGTTATTGTTGTTATCGCTAATGTTATTGTTATTGGTCGTGTTATTTTTATTGACAGTGGTACTTTTAGCGTATGATAACACACTCCCCGAACGTATGATAACAAATTTGTATAAAACTTCCTTAACCGTACGATAACTTTGACCGTAATGATAACTAGGTAAACTCTTTGAACCAATATGTTAGCTAGTTAGATATTGCAGGTAGTGATAGTGTAAATCTTCTCCAGGCTTTGCAATATCACACAATATCATAAAGTATATATTGGTCTGAACGATAACATTTTGCGATACTGTGTGGTGATTGACTGTGTATAAATTTGTAAGATATTTTTTATAGGGTGAGAATTTACTTACCTGGATTGATTGCGATATTGACAGGTGAGGTCATCGTAGGGATTGAGGTTGTCAGGTGGTGATGTCAGGACAGTTTTGGAATTCGTAGTGGTGATGTCAGCTGTTTTGGAATTTTTGTTGGTGATGTCAGGCGTTTTGAAATTCTTAGTAGTGGTGTCAGCTGTTTTGAAATTCATGGTATGTATTGATGTCAGCTGTGTCTTGAAATTAATGGTAGTGACGTCAACTGTTTTGATGTCAGCTCTGCCATGAAATTTGTGAGTCTTCATTTTCTAAGTTCAAAGTCACAGACAAGTGAAACACGGTGTGGAGTAGAACACTAACATGGTGTGGAGTAGAACAATAACACGGTGTGGAGTACAAGTGAAACACGGTGTGGAGTAGAACAATAACACGGTGTGGAGTACAAGTGAAACACGGTGTGGAGTAGAACACTAACACGGTGTGGAGTAGAACAAT